GGAGCAAGAAACCTGAATGCTTTTGGGCAGTAGGCTTGCTGATGGAGTGGAGGACACCCAGGTGCACCTATTGGCAGCACTAAAAGAGCTTTTAACACTTACCTGAGCAGGGCAGAGGCCACGCCAAAAGACCGAGGGCCAAAAACAGGCATGCCTAAGGGCATGGCCAAGGGGAGACTGTTCTGATGGAAGAATTGTGACCTGAGCATTTCTGAACCTGAATTGTAACCTATTACTTCCCTAATAAACCCCATAATCATAAGTATTGGGTGCGAGAGTCCTATGTGGCCACTGCAACGAATTACTTCAGCAGAGAAGTAGAGAGTGCCGTGGGAGGGGCGGTTGGTGTCAGAATTGGTAAAAAGACCACGGGGTGATGACATGTCTGGCCTCATGGGAATAAACCTTGGGCTGCAGATGGTTATTCTCTCCCCCATTGTGAGGTTAGAGGAGGTCAGAGGAGGATGCCGCCTCCATGCCCTTTTCCCAGCAGCACGGGGAGAGGTCAAGTTGGATTTAGAAGAGAGCAGACCCCCTCCATGCCGCCCTCTGGGCTCCCTTGTCCCACCCTTGCCTGAGCCTCAGCCTCCCTCAGGGCTTTGTTGTATCATCCATTCCTCATGGATGATATAACAGCAGGCCCTTGAGTTTGGCATTAAAAAGTCTAGTGTAAACATTGCACCAATCCAAACTTTTCTTCATCTAAGCATTCTCCCCTCCCACCAGCTCAGGCCCGCTGGGGTTGGAAAAAAGGTGGGCAGGACACACCGCATAGGGGCCACTCTTCTCCTTTGGCTTCTCTCTGTCCATCTGCTTCTCTGTGTCCAGCAGAGCTGGTCTAACACTTCACTCAGGGATGTGAGTGTCCTTGACTGCCATTGGAATAGTCTCAGCTTTGGGGACCTCTGTTCAAGATGGGAAGAGCCACAGTTTTATTGTTGTTATTATTGTAAAAATATATATAATACAATGTTTGCCAATTCAACATTTTTCAAATGTACAATTGAGCAATATCAATTACATCAATTATGTTGTGTGACCATCATCCATAAACTCAAAAACCAAACCCACTGCCAATGAATCGATTCTGACTCATAGTGACCCCCGTTGGGTTTCTGAGGCTGTAAATCTTTACGGACGTAGATTGCCCCATCTCTCTTCCATGGAACATCTGGTGGGTTCGAACCACTGACCTTCTGGTTAGCAGCCAAATCCTCTATCCACTATGCCACCAGAGCTCTTTTATCATCACCCATAATCATCACCAAATTTCCCACCATCATAGGAAGGCCCACATTTTAACACTGACTACCCTACCCTGAGCTTTTCACACTTCTTCACTGAAACCTTCTAATAGTTGGGATATTTAGTGCTGCAAATAACAGAAAACCCAGCTAACAGGTACTTATACAATAGGAAGGGGTTCTAAACAGTTATGCCCTGAGCTTCTGGCATCTGGTGACATCTATGGACCCTATCACAGAATAATGTTGTGTGTTTTTTAATTTTTTTTTATTGTGATTTAGGTGAATGTTTACAGAGCAAATTCATTTTCCATATAGTAGTCATACACATTTTGTTTCATGACCTTGACTGTCATTCCCCACAATGTAACAGGTCGCTTCCCACCTCCCTGTAGTTACCTCTTCCCTGTGTCCTTCTTTCTTATGCATTCCTGCATCCTGAGCTATTTCCCTGTGCAAAGACTGCCCTTCTGTTCTCCCATGCTTGATCATTCTAAGGGGCATATCTACCTGATGTAAATGTTCACCCCATGTCTGTCTATTGTTTGGCTGGAAGCCACAGGAGTGAGTTCAATTCTAGATGTGAAGGGTAACTAGAGGCCTTAGTCTTGGGGGTCTCACCAGGCTCAATTAGACTAGTAAGCTTGGTCTTTTTTATGATTTTGAGTTTTGTTCCATGTTGTTCTCCCACTCTATCCCGGATCTCCTGCACTGATCCCTTTCCAAGTGGTTGACAGTGGTAGCTGGGCACTATCTAGTTCTTCTGGTCTCATGGTTATATAGGGTGAAGTTCACATGGTCCACTAGTCCCTTGGACTAATTGTTTCCATGTGTCTTTAGTTTTCTTCATTCTTCCTTGCTCTAGATGAGGAGAGACTCACTGTTGAATCTAGATGGCCACTTGCAAGCTTTTAAGACCCGAGGCACTACTCACCAAAGTAGGTTGTAGAACAATGTTTTTGTGTAGTATGTTATGCCAATGGAGTTTGATGATCCCTGTGACCATGGTCCCAAGCTCACAGGTCCAACAACTCATTCCCTCTGCATGGTTGACTGTGCCCAAGAAGTTATCATGACTTTGCCCCCTGATAGTTCTAGTCCTATGGACATTTTTATAGCACATAAAAATACGTATATAGAAATATCATCTGCCAGCCTTATATATGGTCATGGGTATATTCCTTTTTGCCTAGAAATACCTGATCATTCAGCCTGTCTATCCATCTATTTACCAGTAGATTAATGTTTATTATTACTGAAAATGTAGTCCTGTGTATGTAAAAGGGGTTATCTTTGTGTCTGTACCTCTTGTACACCTCTCTGTGTCTTCCTTTTCATTAGTTATTGTGTTGGTCGCTTGCTTTTGCTATATTGCCTTTCTCTTCACCCAAATAAATACTTGTCTCTACCTATCTAGCAGTGTTCCCTCCCCTCCCCTCCCATCCCATCCCTGGTGACCAACAAAGAAAGTTTCCTTCTCTATATAAACCCTTCCTTGACTTTTTACAATAACGGACTACTACAATATTTATCCTTCTGTGACTGACTTATTTCACTCACCATAATGTCCTCCAAGTTCATCCACATTAAGTGGTGTTTCACAGATTCTACATTATTCTTTAGTGTTGCATAGTACAGAATAATGTTTTTAAGGGCACAAAATAAAGGACATTTGATTATAAACTAATTATATTGAAAAATAGTTATCAAACTATGTTAGTCTGGGTCCTCCAGGAAACGTGCCAGGACAAAATTAAACATGCAGGATTTTTATTAGGGAAACTGCCAATGGGAGAAAGTGCGGAGGGAGTGGGTGAGGCTGGGTGAGCTTTCAGACCCCAATGTAAGTCTGATCCCATGGAGGAGCGAGGGAAGGAAGGGTGGGTGGGAGCATCTCAGACTGGTATGCAGCCTACAGAAAGTGCAGCAGAGCTGTAGGCAGGCCTCAAGCCGCAATCAGCTTGAAAAAGTCCCATCCCTCCCAGGAACAGGCCAGCCTTCAAATCCCTGCCATGTTCATCATTGGCTGGGAGCCTGTGCTCTCAGTCAGTCACTATCCTGTAGGTGGAAGCTGTTTACATTGGGCTAATGACATATTGTATTGGGCAAATCTGCTGCAAAAGAGTTCTTTAAAGTGAGAAAAAGCAGAGATATCACTTTGAGGACTAAGGTGTGCCTGAGCCAAGCCATGGTCTTTTCGATTTCCTTATATGCCTGCAAAAGCTGGACAATGAAAAAGGAAGACAGAAGAATGGATGCATTCAGATTGTCATGTTGGCAAAGAATATCGACTACTGTGGAGTGCCAGAAGAATGAGTGAATCAGTCTTAGAACAAGAAATGCATCCAGAAAGCTCCTTAGAAGAGAGCGATGGCAAGACCTCTGCTCCTTTACTTGGAGCACACCATCAGGAGAGGTCAGTTGCTAGCAAAGGGCATCATGGGTGGTAAAGCAGAGAGGCAGCAAACACGAGGGAATCCCTCAATGAGATGGACTCACACCACAGCCACAGCAGTGGATCCATGACTGAGACTGAGCAGCATTTCATTCTTCTAAACATGAGGTCACCGCGAGTTGGAGCCAATGAGGCAACAGCAGAGGCATTTTCACAGCCACCACACTATAAAAAGTTTGTTGTGCTGTTGCTCCCACTCGCCTCTATGACTGGGAGCCCTTTGTGCAGTGAACGACCTGTATAGCCACACCTGCCAGCTCTGCCTGCCTCTGCATTGTACGAAGGGCCTCCCAGTGACCAGCTGGGCTATGCTCAGAGAAGAACAGAGGGGAGTGAGAGGTTGCACTTGCTGGGTACTTTGATGCTGGAGAAAAGACAACTCGGGGGACCCACTCTGTGGCTGTAGATAATGAAAGGGCTGTTTTGGAGCCCAGGAGTCAGATTTGTTCCAGTAGGCCCTGGTGGGCAGAGCCGGCAACTATTAGCTCGACACTGGTTAGGCTATGGAGGTTCTGTGAAGCCTGGGTTACTGTTCTAGCACAATGCCCAGCACACAGTAGGCACCTAATACATATGGATGATCACTTAACAGAGCTATCCTACAATGAAAAAGGCTGCCTCAGGGAAGAGGGGAGTGAGTGCCTTGGCACCGTTGAGTGTGCAAAGCCAGACTGGTGACTACTGGACAGGGATGTCACAGGAGGCAGTAATGGCTTTAGTGAGGACCACACTGCATGATATTGAAGATTCTCCCAGCTCCGAGGTGCTGCAAAGCTATGAATTATCCATGCTGCGGTTCAGTAAAGGCAGACTGATTTCAGTATTAGCTGAAGCAAAACCTAATTAGGAAGGCAAATTGGTTTCTAAAAAAAGATTTGAATGATATGTTCCCAGGACTGTTAGAAATGGCTTTTTAATTGTCTTCTTTTTTGTATTATTCATGCAATTGTATGTCTTTGTGAGCTAAGTCAGTCTCTCACTTTCCTTCCTTCTCCTCTCTTCCGCCTGCTATGATTAGCACCTTCTCTTTTATAGGCCCAACTGAGTACACATTGCCCCTTCAGCCCTGTGGTCTGCCGAAGGGCTCCACCTCACAACCAGGCCTGGCCCTGTGGTCTAGCAGGCATGGGACAGAAGCATCATCCCTGCTTCCTCAGGGCTGGGCCAGACCATTCTTCTGGGGATGGCTGGGAGCTCAGGAGCCATTTGGAGCAGATGCATGCTGGGGAGGGGCCCCCAACCACAGGGACGAACTTGGAGCCACAGAGAGCTAAAAAACCACTTTTCTGCACCCCACCAAGGTGGCCCGCTCTCAGGGGAAGGGCATCTTCCTCTTCCGGAGGCTGAAGGACATCATGGACTGGAGGAAGGTGAGTTATCTCCCCCACTCCCTCCTCTGTCCTTGCTGGGAGGAGGGGTCCCTGTTTCCACCCTGGGAGCTCTGAGGGCTGATGGAGAGGCTCTGCCCAGGGTAACAGGGGTCTCTGGAGCCAGGCTGTCTGGGTTCAGATCCTGACTTTGACACTCAATAGCTGTGTGACCTTCAGGAAGTTGCTTCACCTCTCTGTGGCCTGGTAAATGGTGACAGTAGTAGTATCTTCTGAGGATACAATGAGTTGTTGTTGTTGTTGTTTATGTGCCCTCGACACCCTGAGAATGGTGCCGGCACGTAGTAAGTGCTCACTATGTCTTCTCTATCCAGGCCTCCTGCCCACCTGGCTGAGAGAGTGTGACCAACTCTTCCTCGAGGTCCTAGACAGAGTCTCAGAGGCAGCCCTGTCCCTCCTTCCACTCCATCCTTAGCAAGGGCTCGGTGCAGTGGAAATGCTGGTTCAAATCCTGCCTTTGCCACTCAGCAGCTGTGTGATTTTGGGAGAATCGCTGAACTTCTCTGAACCTTAGCCCATGGTGGGTAGGAGGATCGGGATCAATGAACTACTGTACCATCAGGCTCAATAAATGAATCTCCCTCCAACCATATGTCTCAATGCCTCCCATAAAACCTTCAGGGCACTTCTGGGAAGAAGCTTGCCAGCCTGGAGGCCCAGCCTGCCCGAAGCACTGTCAATCCCTCTGGCAGCCACGTGAGTGTGGATGGGGGTGGGGTCTGAAGAAGGACCGGCCTATGGGCCTCTGTCTTGGAATAGTAAGGTGGGGAGTGATAGTGGGTATAGAAAACTCTACTCTTGGAGTCAGAAATCCCGAGTTCCAGGGCTCACTGCGACTGAGCTGCTGTGTGGCCTCACCAAATGTGTGACACTTCTCTTTGCACCCCCCGCCCCGTTTCCTCACAGGGTTGCTGTGAGTGGGGGATGGGTTAGGAAAGGACTTTGCAGACTGTGAGGCACTGTGCACATGTGTGAGGGAGCATTCCTGTCTCCGGAGCTGGTCTGGTCTGGAAAGAATTAGAAGGGAGAGGCTTGTCCTTAGGGGCCTGCATGGTGGTCCAGGCAGCACTGCCCAATACAATGGTCCGCAGTGATGGGAATGGTACAGAGCCGTGCTCCAGTACGGTAACCACTAGCCACATGGTGCTAGTGAGCAGATTAAATAGCGCCAGTGTCATGGAGGGACTAGATATAAATTTAATTTAATTTTAATCAATTTAAATGTACATGTCAGTAGACCACACGTGGCTAGTGGCTACCATGTTGGACAGGCAGGTCTAGAGGTTAAATGCCCAGGCTCTGGGCCCAGATTGAGTGGGTCAGATCCCAGCTGTACCCAGCTGTGTAACCTGGGACAAGCCACTTTCCCTCTTTGTGCTTCAGTTTCTCATCTGCCAAATGGGGATACCAACAGTACTTACCTGATAGGATTGACTTAGAGATCAAATGGGATACTCCAAGTAGAGGGCCTAACCCAATGTCCAGTACACAGGAGATGCTCAGTAAATGGTCATTATCGTCATTACAACTAGGACACAAGAGGCTCCGATGAGCAGAAGGATGAGATTCCTGTGGAGAACTATGTCGCTCAGCGTTATATTGAAAATCCCTACCTGATAGGAGGTGAGATGTCTAGCTCCCTGCCCTGCCCTTTCCACTGAATTGTGGGTCAAACAGTCAATCGACAATCCTTGGCTGGCAGCCCACCACTGCCCAGCCTGACTCCAGGCGCGCTTTGTCCCCCTCCCAGCCTTTGCCTGTACTTTTCCCTCTGCTGGCTTCCCTTCCCACTCCTTCCTTGGTTCACTAAAATCCTCCTCATTCTGCAAGAACCCGCTTATTTGTAATTCATCCAACAAATATTTATGAAGAGCCTACTACTGGGTGCTAGCACTGTCCAAGGGGTTGACCGCCCACCTTGCGCTCATGGAGCTTACATCCTAGATGAGCAGAAAGCAAGAAACCAGAAAACAAATAAAACAGTTCCATCTAGTGTGAGTGTTATAAAGTCAACTAAGCAGGGTGAGGGGACAGAAAGTGACTTGGTGATCAGGGAAAGCTTCTCGGAGGAGGTGATATGGGACCTGAGACCCCAGTGACAACTAGGAGTCACCTGTGGATAGATTTGGAAAGAAAGCGATACAGGCAGAGGAAACTGCAAGAACAAAGCCCTGAGGTGGGACTGGGCCTCCTCCCTGAAGCCTCTACAGATTTCCTGGGCCATCTCTGAATCCACTCTTGCCACACGGTGCCTGTGGCATACTAACCTGTCGGGCAGTGCGTACGAAGGGGCGTGATTCCAGAAGATCGTGTCCAAAAGAGACAAGATGTTGGAAAAGGGTGTCACTGCGGTTGGGTCGGTGCTGCTGGCCTTCTCTGCCTCCTCCGGCCACGGCCTTCCCAGGGCTCAGGCCTTCGGCCTCCTCTCCTTTCCCACCTCCCTCTCCCACTACCCCATTCTATCTTGTGGCCATCACCCAAATGCCATTGACTCCTAGCTTTCTGTCTCCAGCCAAGACATTGAGCCTGAACCCCAGGCCCTGATGTCCCACAGCCTGTGACATCTGTTCTGAGGCATCTCCCAGCAACTCAAGCTCAACAGGTCCAAAATTTAACCTGTGTGCCCTCCATCTGGCTTCTCTCTCCGATCCCCATCTGGGACACGGCCCCACTATCACCTGGCTGCTAAGCCAGGAGCCAGGAACCATTCTGGACACATCCCTCTGTCCTCTCATACCCACTTCTTCAGGCTCCCACCCAGCTCTCGCATCTGTCTGGCCACTTCTCTCCACCTCCACCCTGATCCCAGCCACTGACCTCTCTCTCCTGGACACTGTGTTGCCTCCTGTCTGGTCCCCCTCTGCTGCTCTGGTCCCCCCACTCCACTCCCAACACAGCCGCCAGGGGGACCATGCACCCTCAGGGGAGTCCCTCGCTTTGTAGAACAGAGTCCAAAGATTGTACATAATCGGCCCAGCTGGCCTCTCTGACTGCATCTCCTTCTACTCTTCCTTGCCAGGCCCTGCCCACCTCTGCTCTGCTATGCACACCTCCTGCCCCCAAAGCCCTGTCCCACTCTCAGCTAGGCCTGCTCCTTCTAGCCCTCTTCTTCAGGAGGCCTTCCTTGACCTCAGACTCTTGCCTTTCCCTGACACTGAACACTAACCCTCTTCCTGTCCTGTCCCCATGCCCTTTCCTCATTGTCTCTTGTACCTTGTACGATCTTGCTGTGAGCCTTGTGAAGGCCAGGATTCAAGATTTGAATTTGGGATTTGAGTCTGTTTTGTCCACTGCTTCAGCCCCAAACCTAGCGCGTGCCTGGCCCACAGGAGGCACTCAGTACATACTGGTTACACAGATTAACTCTTTTCTTGCTGGCAGGCCGAAAGTTTGACCTGCGCGTCTATGTGCTGGTGATGTCGGTGAGTTCCTCAACATGGCTCTCCTCCAACAGGGGGCAGGTGGGCAAGGGGATGCTGGGCTGGTGGCACAGGGCAGAGCCCATCTAGGGGCACCTTGGCATCGAGAAAGTGTGAACTTGTCTGACTTCCTCTCTGGCTGGGAGAGCCCCGGGGCCATCTGGGGACAGGGTGGTGGGACGAGGTAGGGATTGGGCAGAGGTATGCAAGCTTCATCTTCTAGAAGCCCAGCATCTAGATTTGCCCTTCACCTGCCCTCTATCTACTCAGGCATCCTGGTAACCACATGCTGGCATTCATTGAGCATCTGCTAAGTACCAGTAGGCCCTGGTGCTTAGTGGATTTTATCTCATTCAATCCTCCTATTAATCTAGTGAGGAAGGTTCTATTATGATCCTCATTTTACAGACAAGGAAACAGGTACAGAGGGGTTGTGTGGCCTTCCAAGGGTCACACAACCAGTGAGTGGCAGAGCTGCAGTTCAACCCCAGGCAGCCTGGCCCCAGAGCCTACTCTCTTAACTAAAGTCTTTCCACTCACGCATTCACTCAGCACACGTTTAAACCGTCCTTCAGTGCTGGGCACAGGATTCAGGGGTGCCCTGTCCTCCTGGGGCTCACCATCTAAAGGGGAATATGGTCACACACCCTGAGCTGGTGGCTGTCATTTATGGGGGTGGAGCCCAGCAGAGGCTCATTCCTTTCATTCCTCTCTGCACACCCTGCCCCCAGGGAAGGAGAGGTGGGACCAAAGGAGGCTGATGGTGGGGCAGATTGCTGAGGGCTGGTGTGAGGAAGAAGGAAGGGCATTGCCGGTGGAAATGGTACAGAAAGCTAGGTGTGACGCGTGCATACATAGTCCCTTTCTTTCTCTTCTCTCTGTCCCATCTCTGCACAGTACCTCCCACTGAGGGCCTGGCTCTACCGGGATGGCTTTGCTCGATTCTCCAACACCCGCTTCACACTGAGCAGCATCGACGACCAATGTATCCTGGACCCCCATCCACCCTGCCCATGGCCAGGCCTGTGCGGACGCAGACCTTCTGTGGATGTTTTCTGATGCCTGTTGTGTGCTGAGCTCTGGTGTAGGCACTGGGCATACAACATGACCAAGACAGGCCTGGTCCCTTCCCTGGGGAGGGGTGGTGTCTTAGAGTCTGGTGGGGGTGGGGCATCCTCCAGGGAGCCATGGGGAACAGCCCAGCTCTGCTCAGAGCATCTCACCCCAAACTGCTTTGCTTGATGATTGTTCTGATGATGGGCCTAAGATTCACACAGACCTGGACAGTTTAAGCCTCTTTGGGAATGCATTTGTCTTGACTATTCATAACTTTCTCATTCATTCATATGTGTGTTCCTTCATTCCACTCTTGCAGTCAAATGTACTCAGCACCAGTAGGTCTGCCAAGTCTTTTGCTCTGGGGTCACAGAGGTAGATCAGACACAGGCTAGTGTCTCACAGCCTAGTTTGCTTATCTGTGCACAGGCATCTCTGGAAAGAAAGACACACAAGAAACTGAAAAAAGAGGTTGACTTTGGGAGGAGAATGGGGTGGCTGGGGACAGGGTGGGAGGGAGCAAAGTGAATGTATTGACTGGTCAAAATAGAAATGTGGAAAAAAAAAAGAGTCTGAAGCTGAGCATCAGAAGAAAAGGAGGAGAGAATCCAGAAATATTTAGGACATAAATTGGAGGCTATCTGCTGCAGGATAGAGAGGAACATGCTTCTGTCTCCGTCAGTCCAACTCATGTTTTACCACTGCACGTTGCTCACCCTGAATTTCATCAGTTGGTTTAGTATCTGTCCAGGGTAATGCATTTGTGTGGCCTGATGCTAGATTGGGGTTGTTATCTTCTATGGAGCCATCCCCCAACTCAATGATGACCCCATGGACCACTGCATTAGAGTGTTGTGACCCCCCAGGGTTTTCATTGGCTGATTTTTGAAAGTAGATTATCAAGCCTTCTCCCTAGTCCATCTTAGTCTGGAAACACCGCCCAAGCCTGTTCAGGACCATAGCACTACACATAGCTCCGCTGACAGACAAGGGCTGGCTGTGCCTGAGGTGCGTCGTCTGGGAATCGAACTAGGTCTCCCATCTTCTGAGAATCCTGCCAACTGAACCACCTGCCCTCTTGAATGGGGGTAGGCGCGTCTAAGCGTGTGTGTGTGTGTGTGTGTAATGATTTTGTATTGTTGTTGAGAATATACACAGCAGAACATATCCCAATTCAAAGGTTTCTCTATGTACAATTCAGTGACATGGATCACATTCTTAGACTTATGCAACCATTCTCATCCCCCTTTTCTGAGTTGTTCCTCCCCCATTAACATAAACTCACTGACCCCTAAGTTTCCTATCTAATCTTTCCAGTTGCTGTTGTCAGTTTGATCTCGTATGTTGTTGTTAGCTGCCTCTTTGTTCCGACTCGTAGAGAACAAAACACTACCTGGTCCTGGGCCATCCTCACAATCATTGCTACATTTGAGCCCCTTGTTGCAGCCACTGTGTCCATCCACCTAATTGAGGGTCTCCATCTTTTTTGCCGATCCTCCACTTTACGAGCATGATATCCTTCTTCATCGACTGGTCTCTCCTGATAGCATGTCCAAAGTATGTGAAATGAAGTCTTGCCATCCTTGGTTCAATGGAGCATCCACAGTACGGTGTAAGCCATTCTGCAGACTGTAGTCTTTCATCTTCATCAGTTATTGCTTCAAGTCATCTTCACTTTCAGCAAGCAAGGTTGTGTCATCTGCATATAGCAGGTTGTTAATGAGTCTTCCTCCAATGCGGATGCTGCATTCTTCTTCATATAGTCCAGCTCTTTGGATTATTTGCTTAGCATACTTCTTGCAAGACAGATTTGTTCATTCTTCTGGCAGTCCATTGTATATTCAGTATTCTTTGTCAATACCATAATTCAAAGGCATTGATTCTTTTTTGATCTTCCTTATTTGTTGTCCAGTTTTCACATGCATTTAAGGCAATTAAAAATATCATGGCTTGGGTCAGACTCACTTTAGTCCTCAAAGTGACGTCTGTGCTTTTTAACACGTTTAAGAGGTCTTTTGCAAAAGATTTGTCCAATGCAGTATGTTGTTTGATTTCTTGACTGCTGCTTCCATGGGTGTTGATTGTGGATCCAAGTAATAAGAAATCCTTGACAACTTCAATCTTTTCTCCATAGATCATGATGTTGCTTATTGATCCAGTTGTGAGGAATTTTGTTTTCTTTATATTGAGGTGTAACTCATACTGAAGGCTGTAGTCTTCAATATCTGTCAGTAAGTGTTCTTTGCTTTCAGTAAGCAAGGTTATCTTCTGATCCTGATGCCACATTCTTTTTCATATGGTCCAGCTTCTTGGATTATTGGCTCAGCATACAGATTGAATAAGTATGGTAGAAGGATATAACCCTGACGAATGTCTTTTTAAATTTTAAATTGTACAGTATCCCCTTGTTATGTTTGAACCGTTGCCTACTGGTCTATGTATAGGTTCCACATGAGCACAATTAAGTATTAAGGAATTCCCATTCTTCAAAATGTTATCTGTACTGTGTTATAATCCACACAGTTGAATGCCTTTACATAGTCAAAAAAACACAGGTAAACATCTTTCTGGTATTTTCTGCTTTCAGCCAAGATCCATCTCACATGAGCAAGGATATCCCTCATTCCATATGCTCTTCTGAATCTGGCTTGAGTTTTTGGCACTTCCCTGTCGAGGTACTGCTTGCAACTGGTTTCTAATTGTCTCCATCATAATTTTACTTTCATGTGATATTAATGATATTTTTTGGTAATTCTGTTGAATTACCTTGGATCATCTCAATCCCACGTAGACAGACTTTAAAGCAGCCTAATAGTCAAAGCAAACATTCTTTACTAGTTAAGCTATTTGGTTTTAAGAAGACCTCAGGGAATATTTTTGGTTTCAGGTTTAAAGATTATCTCAGGACAATAGTCTCAGGGGTTTATCCAGCTTCCATGCCTTCAGACCAAGGTAGGTGAGATGAAGTCTGGCCATTCTCCCCTCCAAGGAGCATTCTGGCTACACTTCTTCCAGGATAGATCTGTTAGTTCTTCTGGTAGTCTATGGTATTTTCTGTATTCTTCGCCAACACTGCAATTCAAAAGCATCAACTCTTGTTCAGTCTTCCTTATTCATTGTCCAGCTTTCACATGCATATGAGACTACTGAAAATGCCATGGTTTAGGTTAAGTGCACCTTAGTCTTCAAAGAGACATCTTTGCTCTGCAGCACCTTAAAGAGGTCTTTTGCAGGAGATGTGTCCAATGCAATATGTTGTTTGATGTCTTGGCTGTTGCTTCCATGGGTGTTGATTGTGGAGCCCTGTAATATGAAATCTTTGACAGCTTCAGTCTTTTCTCCATTTAGTATAATGCTGTTTATTGGTCCAATTGTGAGGATTTTTGCCTTCTTTATGTTGAGGTGTAATCCATTCTGCAGACTGTAGTCTTTCATCTTCACCAATAAGTGCTTCAAGTCATCTTCACTTTCAGCAAGCAAGGTTGTGTTATCTGCATATCGCAGGTTATTAATGAGTCTTCCTCTAATCCTGATGCTGCATTCTTCTTCACATAGTCCAGCTTCTC